TATAACATGAGGCAGACACACAAATATAGGTATATATGTAGGTATATATACATATATGGCTTGTCAATCAAGAACTTCTAGATCTGGCCAGAATGCAACGGCTTCGCCAAACAGCGACAATTCACTCGCTCTTACTTGGGCATAATATGGACAATCAGATGTTATGAACACACTCACTGGGATTATATAAGTGATAAATCGTATCTAAGCGGCTCAGAGATTCTGCAGTACGTGAGGTGGAAGATATCCGTTTGTCGGCATGGGTTGGAAGTGTAGAGCAGCCGGGAGGGGACAGCCAGATGCCAGGACAAGCAGAAAGGATCCGTCGGTCAATGGATTATATCCAGCGTCTGCCAGGTATTAATATATACAACAGATATGAAATATGAACATGAGCATGGCATGTATATAATAAGAGGCGATGGCAGCCGCCTTTTGTTGCTTTTGGCCACGCGTTTGCTTTTGTAGATCGGAGCTTGAACCAGATCATGAGATTTTGGTGTGAACTGGTAGCGACTTCCAAGGTTGTAGTTAGCAACCGGTACTTAGCGACTTACCTACCACCCCTCTGTCCTGTCAGCCTGTCACGGTTCTTTTGGAAGCAGCCACCCTGTTGTGGGACAACGCCTAGCTAGGTAAGTAGTAATTAACGCCTGTGCATCGACAGCGCTACCTCCCATTAGGCACCCGTAGTTAGCGTCATATAACCTGGAATGTAGCCTGGATTTTAGCCCACATGAAGAACAAGCACATGCCTGCAGACTGCCTTAATAAAGATGAGTGGTGTTTGTTGATGTACGTAATAACCCCTCTAACTCCTCCACTTCTTAGTTCAGTAGCTAATACCTTTTTATCCTTTTATCTGATCTCTGGGACTCAGCATTTCTGGCCTGGATGTCCTAGCATCCTTATATTCACGATACTAGAATACATATACTGAATGCTAGTCTAAGTGATAGCTATGTGTAACTCCTTCGTGTGTGTGCGATTTTTTTATTTTATTTTTTTTTTTGCTTTTTTCCTGCCAATACTTACACCGCCAATTCACTATTCGGGTTTTTCTTTTTTCTTTCCTTCGTTTTCTTTTACCCCTCCCGGTCTATCAGGATACCAGGAGTGTCAGGACGTCGACCGAAACAGTCGTCCGTCGAAGGTTACATCCATGGATGCCAATCAAGGCAGGAACACTGATCGGGCACGCCACTTGAGCCCAAACCCATGGTTCCTCATAAGGTGCGATACAACCCCAAGCAGCCTGATGTAGTCCTGATGTAGTATTTCATCCTGTGGCTTTTCTTGATCGGGCAATCATGATAGCAGCCGCAGACGGGCCAGGATCTTGTCCTATCACTATTTACAGCGTTTGTAGGCATCCTCTTAACTATTGTCATGTCCAAAGGTACGGGATTCAGTGTTGTTCTCATGACATAGATGACATGGAAGAAGAGATGATGCGCAAACTCTTTACTTGGAAGAAACAGTGCAGTCCTATAGGTACCTGATAAGTTCCGTATGCCGATGGCGGGCCTCCCGCCTTGCATTGCATTGCACCACATTGCGTGCGTGGCTCCAATCCTTTGCAACGATGCAAGAATTTTTGATCAGCACCTCCTCAAACAGCGGTTGGCTCGCAGTTCAGAAGACGTGGATATCCATATATATCAAAGAATCCCGGATAAAGTTCCACTATGCTCCTCCCACTCAGGAGTTCAGAGTGAAGTCACCACTTTTATTGCTCGTTCCGCACTCGATAACATAGTATCCGTGTCATCAAAACATGGAACATCTTCAGATTGGCTCTATCATGTATGACTCATAGGACTGGTAGGTCTGATTTGTGCAAGACTGGTGATTGGGCCTTATTATATTCTTCCAGAGCAAAGAAATTCGTCTCGTATCTGCAAAATGAATATTTCCGAATCAACGACTACAACTTCTGATCATTACGGAAATATTGTTATCAGACGATACAGAATCTAAGGAAATGCCTCAAGTAAGTTGTCCTTACCAAGAGCGTACACAAAAGTCATGAAAGCAACATCGAGTGTCTTACAGGACGTTGAGAACGAAGAACCCCATATATATGGCTATTGTATCTATATAAATGATGGAATAATAATGGTTCTGGTTAATATTTAAGGATATCCTGGTCGCTTCTTTATGCAGAAATATACTTTCTCGTATTCCGTTTGCAGTCATTCAAATAGGAATGCATATGATAACCCTTGATAGGTGGTTACCTCATCGTTGAAGGCTTGGGCTATTCCTCTGGGCACCTCTTTGCTAAATTATCTTTGATGTGAGATTTGAGCTTTACATTGCAAGCCCCTCTTTCCCAAAGCTAATAGCTTCTAATACCAGAGTACCTTACAGCATATCCTTCAAATACAGCGGTTGGTGGAGTATAAAACAGTAATCCGAGATAGTCCTTCTCTCATTTGCAGTAAGAACACCAATGGACTGCAATAGCCGTATCTCCTAGCAAACCCAAGGCATTCGTTCTTCTAATCTCTAGACGATGTCTCATAACGCCTTTAACGCATTTGGCCATCTCAATTTGTCCAAAGAAGACAGTCCTGTGTGCTTTCGACACATATACCACCCCCCTTCTCTACACGGGGCAGTATATACACAACACAAATCTGCTCCTACAAACCAATTTCTTGAAACCCCATGTGAATGGCCCGCTGATGGAGTTGAGCATGACCGATGGGGACGTTGAATCGATGGGTCTTGCTTCTTCAAATAAACGTGGCACGATAGGAGGTTAGGAACACAGCTACCTGCCAGGGGAGGGAGAACCCTGGGGGGGTTGCTTCATTGGAACACTCTCGGTGATCGTGAACCGAAATCACATGATGATATTAATCTTCTGCCCCAGAAGGCATCGTCATTGGTAGTATTCTGCCTTGCTATGATGAGACTCGGTGACAAAAGCATATGCCTTTCATCTCAGCTATCTAGGTGTTATTCGTTCACGGTAGTTTCAATACGGGAGAGCCTCGCTATTCTGACTTATATCGAAACTAGTTTCACCGTAGTATAAACCGGACTCTGGAAACATCATTGATATAACAAGAGGTCGGTTCTTAGTCGAATACGGAGTAGCCCGAATTCTGGTTCAGCTGGTGTGGAGACCAAGACATTAAATTAAGTAGATGCCTCTGAATCAGAGTTGAAAGCAAGCCGAGACGATAAGCAACCACACAAATACATCTTTACCCCGTGGGCAGGTGACGTGACCAATATGCCTTGCGTGAGGTGGCAACGCCTTTTGCTAGACAGCACCACTACACAATGATACCTGCTATCCCGGTACGGCGACCGAATTCCCTAGGAATCGGCCTTGCGCCGCGCCAACGCTAAGCAGCAGGTCACGATGGCTACTTGGCAGCTGGCTATTCCCGCAACGCCATCTAGCGCGTCCGTCTACTCCTAGCATAGAGCGGGAAAGGATGGATGGACGGACGGACCGCGAGGCTGACAAACGAATGGTGAAGTGAAGCGATTCCGCCCCCCTTTGCCATTTTGAGGGTTCGGTAACGGGAGTTCGGTCGGTGCGGCTGAACGGCGCTTTCTCGCGTTTTGGTCGTTCGCTAAGTAGTAAGTAAGCATAGCGCGCGCGCGCGACGTCATTGCACTGCCTCGGGGCTCAACGTTCGACAATGGAGCGATAATAGGCAGTCGAGGCCGCATCTCGAAAGCTGGATGGATAGGTAAGACGGACGGACAGATAGGAGACGAGGTCACGAAAGGAAAACTATAAAGGGAGGCCGAAAACCTTGTATCCGGAGAGATGGAACTTAGACGGACATCCGCACACAACTGACTTACAAGTATCACCCAAAGAACGAACGGGCACCATCCAGTTTTAACTGAATCCTCAATCAAACCGCGACCAGAGAGCTACAAGACCACACTACATCGTCACCTCAGGACATTCGCACCACTCGTAAAGATGTGGTTCGGACTCAGCAACCCCTTCGTACGTTACGTTGAAGTCCTCCTTGATGTGTTAAGGTATCTTGTGGCTAACCTACACGACAGTCGAAGAAAAAGAAGAAGGCGGCGGCGACTGGCATATCGTCGTCGACTTACACCCCTAAGCAGACCACTGCCTACCGCACAACTTCTACTGCAGAGGCGGCGAAGCCTCGGACTACCACCACCGCTACTCGCACTGGATATAGCGGCAGCAGCAGCAGCAGCAGCGGTACTGGCAGCGGCGGGGGTTACATTCCGTACAGCCCGTATACCTACGCCGCTTTGAACGCCGGTACTGATACTAAGGGTGACTCCTGTGGTGGACATAGCGGCGGGCACGGTGGTGGACATAGCAGCAGCAGCAGCAGCGGAGGGGGTTATTCGGGAGGCAGTTCAAGCTCAGGTGGAGGCGATAGTGGTGGCGGCGGTGGTGGTGATAGTGGAGGTGGTAGCAGCTGCTGATGAGCTTTCGTACCTATGATGAGAATATGTCAAGCATACGAGGGTACATATCACCACCGGGGCACAGAGTTGGGGCGGCCGGGGCGGTAGAGCGGCGTTGGGTTTCGTAGCTGTGTTTTTGCGTATACACTAATGAATACTTATTGTATGACTGAATTTCCTATCTCTAGGTAGTCATTTCGGTGACCCAACAGCGAGACATGAGCATTGTTACTTAAAGGTAGCCGCGCCGTGGTCGAGTGCGGATTTGCTTGGAAGACGGGACGACGCGCTGGGACATATCTCCAAATGCAGCTGCCTGTTTAACATACGTGCCGCGGCGTTCCGGAGGCCATTCTGACGTCCCACATCGATGTCCCATATTCCGATATGGATTTTATGACAAGACTTTCCCGGCCCGAGAAAAGCAGAGAGACGGAGGGATAGAGAAAGGGGGCGGGGTACCTTGGAGAGAGGGGGTAGAATGGTGGAGATAAAAGTGCCAGAATGTGAAGGGAGAGAAAAAAAATTAAATGATTCGAAGTACCTGAATGATACAGGTGCATCGGGAATTGAGCCCGATGCGGGGGTCGAACCCGCAACCTCAAGATTAAGAGTCTTGCGCTCTACCGACTGTTGCTTGGTTAGTCATTTGCTTGATGGAAGCGAGAGATGAGGGTTCCTACTTGAGCTAACCGGGCTTTGCCTGTTGGTTGGAAGGCCGGTTTCTTATAGTGCTATAAGTACCTAGCCGAGCCGGTGGTGTGGATCACGGACCATTAACTAGACCGGCTTCAACGTGAGTTCCTGAGTAGACCTCTCAGAGTCTTACGTGAATAAGGAACTGCTGTGTGGCTGCATATTAGGTAGATATTCCGTGGTCAGGACGCAATGTGGATGATAGCTGGAGTAGGTAATTTCGTACTTGGCAGATGCAGAAGAGAGTATTATTAGCTGTCAAGCTAAAGAGAGGATGAAACATGTTTAGGTTTAAAGACACTATGGACTATATGAGGCACGACCGGTACATACGTATCTAGAAGCAGGATCGCCATGCCGACTTACGAGAGGCATTCAGACATAATTAACTGCAAGTTAGATAAGTTAGATATAAAGAGGTCTCGAAAACGTGGCATTACTTCTATAGCTCTACTGAAAAGTACATATAGTATTATTTGTCGAGGTTTATTCCATTATGGAGACAGCCTAGATGCAATACAGGCTCATGCTCATGCAGACCTTTCATGCCCTGCTGTAGCAATCTCAAGAATCTCCTTTTCTGTACCACCAACGTGAACAACGTCTATGCCCGCAGCTTTCAGCTTTTGGCTGCTAGAATTTTCACTGACGAATTTCGCCGGCTCCTGCACTCCGACGTAGACGGTCCTGATTCTTTTCCCGATGGCTAGAATGCGATCCACACAGGGCAGGTTTCCACTCAATCGTTCAGAACAGGGTTCTACCGTCGTGTAAAGAGCAACTTCATCAGGCAGAACCTGCGAGAGCAGCTCTGGTGTTACGGAATACTGCTCGGCTAGCTTCTCGAAACAGCATTGCTCCGCATGCGTATTGCCTGGCAGCTCTAAGGTGTAGCCTGTAGCCAATATCTCATTTTTCGCTACGTCGAGCACGAGAGCGCCAACGCGGTAATTCGTTGGTTTAGGTGGTGATTTGGTGGCCAATGATAGAGCTAGTCGCATGTAGGCCTCGTGGTCACCAGCTTCGATGCTGTTCGGGTGGAGTGATGCAGCTCGTGTCATGATGACGACTATCACCGAAGCATCGGCCTCGCTTGTAGAACTTGGGATTGAGAAATTTGGAAATTGGGAAATATAGAATAATCCGTCACTCTCAAAGGGGACGGGGCACACTCACCGGTGATGGTAATAAGTCGAGATGGAATCAATGCACAAATTATACTTACCCCGCCAGTATCGCCAGCCCCACCAACCCCGCGGTCGCATACTGAAGTTAGCATGCCCCACCCATTATCGATAAGTGCTTGATGCGTGATTGCCCTCTACGCGTCTCACGCGTTCCGTTCCCCCAATGACCCCAATGAGTTTCATCCATCCATCCATCCACATGCATCCATCTGGTGGCGGGCTTGACTGTACATCATCGTGATTATCATCACTAGCCTGCAACATCTTCGATATGCCTGCTTCCGAAGATATTCTTGAGGGTGAACCGCCCGTGATTGACCCATACGAGGTCTTGGGAATCGAGCGGGTGGCGACGCCTGATCAGATCAAGAGCGCGTATCGCAAGGCTGCTCTGAGGCATCACCCAGGTAGGCCCAGCTATACTCTATCAACGATTCTGCAACCTTTTCTAGAAGCAGTCATATTAACTGCATTGATGAATACTAGACAAGGTCCCCGACGATCAAAAAGCGGAAGCGCACGAGAAATTCCAATCCGTCGCATTCGCATATGCTGTCCTGTCCGATCCGGCGCGACGCGAGCGCTATGATGCTACAGGTTCAACGTCTGAGTCCATTGTCGACTCGGATGGCTTCAGCTGGTCCGATTTCTACCGTGAACAATTCCGAGATGCTATCAACGAGGATTCAATCGCGAAGTTTGCCGAGAAATACAAAGGTTCCGACGAAGAAAGAGACGACTTGCTGATCAGCTACGAGGAATGCAAGGGGGACATGAACATGATCTACGAGACAGTGATGCTGAGTAACCCGCTGGAAGATGAGGAACGCTTCCGCAAGCTGATCGACGAGGCCATCGCCAAGAAGGATGTCACGGCCTACAAGTCTTATACCCATGAAAGTAAAAAATCCAGACAAGCAAGACTTAACGAAGCTAGGAAAGAAGCTGGTGAGGCGGAAGAGTACGCGAAGGAACTGGGGGTTCACGACAAGATGTTCGGCGGCAAGAAGAAAAAGACCAAGAAGGATGCAGAACAGGACCTAGCTGCTTTGATCCAAGGAAACCAACGGAAACGAGATCAGAGCAGCTTTCTAGACGACCTAGCTGCCAAGTATGCTGGCCCTAGCGCTTCTAAGAAAGGCAAAGGCAAGACCGGCAAGAAACGTGCGGCAGAAGAGGAGCCCTCCGAAGAGGCGTTCCAAGCTGCCGCCTCTCGGCTCAGGAAGAAGAGCAGAAAGTGAAACCGGGGAATTTGATACTTTTCAGTTTGCTTTTGGCGACGGCGTTTCAGGGTCACGATTACAGGAATCCATCAACATGAGGTTAACGGGATGGCTTCGTATTGTTTCGGAGTGATTTCATTAGTAATTATTCTATAGAGGCCACATATCTCTGGTTTGTAGCACGCAATACAAGGGCGCTAAGTTTCTCGTTAATAGAACATTGAGGCATATGAATGCACTCAATGATGTCTTGATGAAGTAAAATGACAGCTATAACCTGTCCTTGGTAATCACTCTAAGGTTAGCAAGTGTAAGTATGCTCTGGGCTGCCTGGACAACAATGTCCACTAACAATACCCCTAACAAGCTAATACTTAGGCACCTGAGGGGAGCTTGGGGGTTCGAACGCGGGGCGTTTTCAACCACCACTTGCATGTGCTACGGCAGACCGCGACGCGATTTCTTCCAAATACACTTTATTTAGCATTCCCAATCGTACTCGATTGTGACAAGATCCTACGCATAGTACGACCTGTGTCGGATCGCCTAGGCAATCGGCTCAGCAAACCGATTCCTAAACAAAAATGCGATGACCAGCATTGAACCGCACGATTTCTACCCTCAGTATTGTTTCTACCTCTCTCCCACCTTCAATAAATGGTGCCCCTTGCGAGCAACCGATGTGCACGGCCTCGCATCGCATCCAGGTTTTGAAGGTAACGGAGACTTCGAACCCCATCGCCGGCTAGGAGCGCATGAACGAATTACTGATGTTGGAAATCTTAGGCCAAGATGTGTTCTTCTTGTTGAATCATCCTATTATATGGGTGAGGATCGTAGGGGTGGTGGTCGCGATCGACGACTTCTACGGCCACCGGGTCTATACTATCGACGACAGCACGGGCGAGTGCATCGAGTGCAGCGTGGAGACCCCAAAGCCCCCGAAGCCCGGAGCACAGGGAGCCAAGGAAGTGGCCCGTGGTGGTGCCGCTTCATCCTCCAGAACTGCGACGGCGCAGGGTACCGCTACCACGTCCAGCAGCGTGCTAGCAGCGGACATCGATGTGGGCATGGTGGTCGACGTGAAGGGCCGGGTGAAGCTGTTCCGGGACCGCAAGCAGATCAAGATCCAGAAGGTGCAGCGCATCGGGTCCACGGCCCAGGAGGTCCAGTTCTGGGGCAAGATCCAGGATTTCCGCCGCGACGTGCTGAGCCGGCCTTGGCTCCTCGATAAGCGGGACGTGCGCCGGGCCAAGAAGCAGCACCTGGCCGATGTGGATGCCGACGAGAGGCGCAGGAGGAGGAAGGAGAGACACAGGTTACTGCAGCAGGAGGAGGCGGACCGGAGGCGTGGAGTTGGGAAGGCAGATCGCCATCGTGCAACAACAACTACCGACCTTGTGCATAGGCAGTCCCCCGCGAAGTCGAAGGGCGGCAGGACGCATGGGGATGGCCAGTATGACGCATTGGGATTATAGTATTAAGGTCTTCTAATGCTGGGGTACAGCTTCTAAATTAGGTGGTACTTGGGCTGCTGAGTTACATACCTATATGTATCGTGAACTGCATGTCGACGGCATTCTAGTCCTAATTCTGCATTTCCTAATTCTGCATTCCCTACAGTGGGACAGTTGAAAGAGCCTTCAATTATAAGGAGTCGCTATAAGGCCAGGTACATAGGCACGCACTTATGACCTTGCCTCATTCTGACCTGTAAGAATTGGGGGCCGTTTCCATCTGCCATGTCCCGTGTCCCGTTGGTGATTACCAAACAGGCAGTGTCGCTCCTGCCCCAGCCTATCACAACTTCCCCCGGTGCCGAATTCCGACTTCCTGGTTGATGTCTTAAGTCATAATCTCTTGGGCTCCCCCAGCAGGGGCGTTCTGTATAAAAAAGCCGTCATATCCACCTCTCTTCGCAAGACACTTACTTGACACTTCCAATTGACTTCTGATTCCCGATCTATCATATGGACGTGTAATGGGCAAAAGTGACAGGCAACTGCGATGGCTCTGCAAACGCCGAATTTGGCCAGAACTATGGGGGCCCTCGTGAGGCAAACCCACAAGCTCACAGGCCCAACAGTGACAGCCGGTTTGGTTCAATCTCTCTTTTGTCTTGACTTCTAGTCATCTTCTCAACTGTCTCTATCCTATGATACCTTGGCCATTATTCGTACCTAAGAACATTATTTTCTCTCTTGCAGCGTGATCATCTCTCTGTATATCTTGAGTCTTCGCCGGCCCTATTTCCCACAGAAGCTTTACGTTCGCTTGTCTCATTCCTAGCCTCCCTGTCTAGCTCGCTTAATATACTACCAGGTAGGAAGTTTTTCAGCCTCTGGTCAAGACAGTGCATTCTTCGAATGCGAACCACATGATGAACTCCAAATTCAGCTCGTCGCCTGGTCTACATAGCTCCGTTCCCATGTGCCCCTCAGCTCTATAAAAATGGCGGACACCGGTTTATATACAAGGTTACTTATATATCCGGAGCTTCCATACTATCAGCCCGGAGCTAGCAACGAGACTCATGATTCTTATGACACTCCTATTCCATTATATACTTTAGACATATCTCTCTGTGCCACG